CTTTTCATTTCTTCTTACTACCTTCCCCGGCATCCTTTGAGTTCTAACTAAAATCCATCTTCTAAAATCTACAGGAAGCTTTCTCCAACCCCTCTTAATTCTAGCATCTTCCCTCTCTTATTTAGTTACTGTGTGTCTTATGTATAACTTGCTTGTACATATTTGTTTGCTTGCTGTATCCCCCATTAAATTGTGAACTCCTAGAGGACAGACTGTATTTTGCCTATTTTTGTATCTTTAGTGCTTAGTATGGTGCCTGGAATGTGGTAGGTGCTTAATAAATGTTTATTGACTGACGGATTCGGGCACACATAGGAGTGTTGTGGGCCACTCCTCTGGTGGTTAAAGCTCTTTATAATGTAACCCCTTTCTACATTTCTAGTCTCACACTTGATTCTCCTGAATGTACTCTACAACCTCATTGTACTGGCCTACCTGCTTTTCTTTTCCTGTGACATTCTGTCTCTGTGTCTTTGCACTGGAACATCTAGCTTTCCTGGAGCGTGCTCCCTCTTCACCTCAGCCTCTTACTCCCTGACTTCCTTCAAGGCTGGTCAAGTCCTACCTTCTGTAGGAAGCCTCTCTTGTTCTTCACCTGCTAGTGCCTTTCCTTCTAGCAATCTAGTCTACATCTTGTGTGAACTGCCTTATTTACCTGTTGACTCCCCCGTTAGAAAGTCAGCTTCTCCAGGGCAGGGACTCTTTACCTTTCTTTGCTTCCCTAGTGCTTAGTACAATGACTGGTAAATAGTAACTGCTAATTGACTGACTCCATGTTCTGTCCTGGGACCAAGCCGAATAAGAGTTATGACATGACAGCCCTCCAGATATTTGAAGACTGCTTATGTGTGGCCCTTGAGTCTTCTCTTTTTGAGACTGAGCATCCCAGTTTCCTTCACCTGATTCTCAGTATGGTCCCAAGCACCCTCACCATCCTAGCTTCCCTCTTCTGGATATATTCTAATTTGTCATTGTGCTCCCCAAGCGGCCCTGAAATTTTCTGGGTTGTGAGGCAAGAGGAGGTTATCCCCAAGAAGTTCAAGGACCCCTCCATTGTCCATCTCTATAAACTTAAAGGAAGTAGAATGTCCTGTGACAATCACAGGGGGAGCTCTCTCTTAGTCATTGCTGGCAAGATTCTGGCCAGAATCCTCCTTAATAAACTGATTCTTCACCTGGACGATGGTCATCTACCCAAGAACCAGAAAGGCCTTCAGAAAGGGTTTAGGAAGGGTCAGTACAGTGTTTGCTGCCTGACAAGTCCAGGAGAAATGCCAGGAACAGAACAGAGGTCTGTACACAATGTTTGTCGATCTCGCCAAGGCTTTTGATGACTAATGAGGGCTTATGGAAAATTGCTTATGGAAAATTGTGTCAAAATTTGGTTGCCTGAGAAGTTCATCATTATTGTACTTCAACTTCATTACTGCCTGGGTTCTGGATAATGGACGATGATTTCACACTTTCCCAGTCACCAGTGGAGTGAAACAAAGCTGTGTGCTTGCTCCCATGCTTTTTAGCATGATGTTTTCAGCTGTGCTGTCAAATGTCTTCAGTGAGAATGAACAGGGCATCAAGATCAGCTACCACACTGATGGTAAATTATTCAGCTTGAAAAGGCTACAAACCAAGATGAAAGTGAAGGGAGTGTTGGTGCATGATTTTTTGTTTGCAGATGATTCTGCACTCAATGCAGCCTCAGAAGCTGAGATACAACAAAATATAGATCAATTCTCGTACTTGTGCTAATTTTGACCTAACAATACCAAGAAAATGCAGGTACTCCACTAGCCAGTGCCACACCATCCATACATAAAACAATGGGTTACTCTGAATGGAGAGGTTTTGAATACAGTGCTAAGTTCACTTAGCAGTATACTTTCCAGGGTTGTACACATTGATAATGAGGTTGATGCATGCATTGCCCGAGCAGTCTCAGTGTTTGGGAGGCTCTGAAGGAAAACGTAGGAGAGAAGAAGTATTAGACTGACTACCAAACTGAAGGCCTACAGAGCCGTTATGCTGACTTCATTGTTGTATGTCTATGAAACCTGGACAGTATACCCGTGTCATGCCAGGAAACTGAATCACCTCCATTTGAATTGTCCTAGGAAGATTCTGAAGATCACTTGGCAGGATAAGGTACCAGACACTGAGGTCTTTTCCCAAACTAAACTGCCCAACGTTCAAATTTTACTGCAGAGAGTGCAGCTCCAGTGAGCTGGCCATGTTGTTCAAATACCAAATGTATGCTTGCCTGAAAGACTATTTTATGGAGAATTCACGTGATAGTCAGAAAAAGTGATACAAGGACACTCTCAAGGTCTCTCTTAAGAACTTTGGAATTGATTTCATGAGATGGGAGACACTGGCACAGGCCTGCCCAGCGTGGTGTGCCCTCATCAGAGAAGGTGCTGTGCTCTGCACAAAGCAGAATTGAAAGTAGGTCAAAAGTAACAGGAGATGTGCAAATTTAGAGAATCCACCCCAAATGTTCACATGGACTATTTGTGCCTGACCTGTGGTAGAGCACTTCAAGCTTGTATCGGTCTGATCAGCCGCAGTCGGACACATTGAAACTTGCCTCTGACATAATGATGTCATTTTATTCCTCTTCCAGAATGAAGGACAACAACCAAGCAAGCATTCCCCAAAATGTGGTGTCTAGAACTAAACATATTACCCCAACGTGCTCTGACTAGACCTGTCATCTCCGAGATACTCTCACTCGATGCCTGAGCCCATTAGATTTCTGCCCACATGTGACAGTGTTGATTCCTGTTGAACTGGTGGCAGTACTAAAACCCTGGGGTCTTTTTCATACGGAAGCCATCTGCCACTGTCCGTCATTGTGTTCTCATAAAAATGATTTCCCAGCCCATTTATCCTAACAAATCTAATCTCATTAGATTCATCCCCATTGTTCTGGCCTGTTACTCCCTTCCACACACTCCACAATCCCTGACACTCAGAGACATTCACTATCTTGTGAATAGGCAAATCACTTAATCTCTCTAAACATCAATTTCCTTTCCTGTAGAATTTGGATAATTATGCTTGCACTACTTACCTCTCAGGGATGTTGTGAGTAAATTGCTTTGTAAACCTTGAAGTGCCTTATTAATTTAATCTTTAAAATAGTTTAAAATAACCTTTATGTTTTCTCCAGCACTTTTCATAAGATTTGGTTTATTCTGTGTTTTAGCCTTCCTCATACCACTCTCACAGGTTTCTGCTACTGTTTTTGTATGCATCCTTTGTTGTGTATCCATCCATGTTTCATCTTAAAACCTGAACTTATCATAGAGCTTTTTTATCTATGTGGTTTTCCTTAGATACTTTTGTAGAATTGTAGAAAACTAGGTGGTACGGTGGATAGAGTGCTGGGCCTAGAGACAAGGAGACCTCTTCATCCTGAGTTCAAATGTGGCTTTAGACATGTACAAGCTGTGTGATCCTGGACAAGTCACTTAACCCTGTTTGTCTCCGTTTCCTCATCTGTAAGATGAGCTAGAGAAGGAAATGGCAAACCACTACAATATTTGTGCCAAGAAAACCCCACATGGAGTCACAAAGAGTTGAACATGACTGAAAAATAACTGAACAACAACAGAAATGTTGCAGTAATTTTGGTATTTAAAATATATCCTTTTTGACCCATTTCGTTTTAGTTTTTCCACCACTGGATACTGAATTTTTTTTGGGGGGGGCTATGCAGTGGGGTTAAGTGACTTGCCCAGGGTCACACAGCTAGTAAGTGTTATGTGCCTCAGGTCGGATTTGAACTCAGGTACTCCTGAATTCAGGGCTGGTGCTCTATCCACTGCGCCACCTAGCTGCCCCTGGATACTGAATTTTTCTTTGATATTTTTGAAATATGATTTCCTAAAGTCTAGGGTATGTGTCTTCTTCTACCCAGTGTTCCCATTCTTTGTTATTGCAAATTTAAATATGATGTGGTTGTTTCCTTCCAAGGCTATTGTCATTTCCATGACTGGGCATTGTTTCTTTATTGGTCAAAATTAATTCTAAAGTTAAAGTTTTCTTCATTGCTTCTGCTAATCTCCTTGTGGGATAAGGATGACACAATTTCCTCATCTACAAAATAGAGATAATAATACTTGGAATATTTAATTCATATGTTGTAAGGGATCAGATGCAATGTTTGTAAAGTGTCTTATAAACCATAAAATGCTAACTATGAGCTATCATTGCTAGTATTATTTTGGTTTTATCACTATTATTATTATTATCATCATCTGTATCTATGTCTCACTTGTGTGACTAGATTGGGTATATCTAGGAGGAGCTAATACTTTGAAGGCCCCTAGTTAGGGAAGAGTGCTCAGAGTGACCTAGAGCAGTAAACCCCATGAAGATCTTCCAAAGGGCCATATTTAGGTTTGGAGAATATTTAAAGGGACCATATATAGCTTTACATTCGCCTTCCTAGGATCATAGATCTAGATTTGGAGTTTCTGTTCCAACTCTAGCTTTTACAGATAAACAACCTTAGAGGGGTTAAATGACTTACCTTAGGTCATATTAAGTAGCAGAGCCAGAATTTGAACCCTGATCCCTTGATTCTAAATTCAGTATTCTTTTCAGTGTACCAGACTACATATAACTCCTCTGAGGTGATTTTAAGCTTAAAATATTTTTATCATTCTCTCACATTATTTGTGTGTATATGTGCTTTTTCTCTGATTCTTATCATCTACCCATTCACATTGACCTAAATCCCCCAAAGAGGGGAAGAGTAAAGAGAGGCATAGATGGAATAGGGAAGGGTGGGGGAAAGGGAACATGGGATTAGGGAATAGAATAACAGAAGAAGTTGACTAAATTGAGTTTTAGGAACAGGAAAAAAAGATGATAAAGGTGAGGAAAGACCTCACCTTTTCCTAGGAGGAAGGATTTTCTTTCCCCTCCCTTAAAGTGCCCCCACCTGGCTAGAATGTTCAATGACTTCCTTAATTCACTTCTTTTCCCGATGGCAGGTGTTATATGAGGAGTGCCGGATGGTTAACCTAACAGCCCCGTATGTGTCTGGTTTCTTGGCATTTCGAGAAGTCCCCTTTCTGGTGGATGCTATTCAGAGGCTACAGAAGAAGGACCCCAATCTCATGCCGCAGGTAGATACCTCTTTTCTTTTTTTTAAATTTAATATTTTATTTTTCCCTAATTACATGTAAAAACCATTTTTTAACTTTAGTTTTTTTTGAATTTTGAGTTCCAAATCCTCTTCCTCTCTTCCTCCCCTCCCCACTCATTGAGAAAGCAAGCAGTTTGATATATGTTATAAATGTGCAGTCATGCAAAACGTATTTCCCTGTTAGTCATGTTGTGAAAGAAAACACAGCAGGTGCCTCCTTTCTAAGAATGTTTACTCCTATCCTTACTGGGGAGTGAAAAGGGAGAGGACAGAAGGGCCTGCTATTTAAAAGATCCATGCTGCTCTCTTCCTTCCTCCTCTCCCCCCCCCGCCTGCCCACTGTCCAAACCCTTCTGATCCTAACCTGAGAAGAGAAGGGAAAATTTCCCTTCGCCATTCTGTGCTCATGAGTTTGGTACTCATGTCTTAGAACTTCCTCAAATTTAATTCCACTCGGAATTAAATGGACATTGGTGCTCTGAACAGGGGCAGCTAGATGGTACCTGGAGTTAAGAGGACCTGATTTCAAATCCAGCCTCAGACACTCATTAGCTGTGTGACCCTGGGCAAGTCACTTAAACCCTGTTAGCCTCAGTTTCCATATCTGTCAGATGAGCTGGAGGAGGAAATGGCAAACCACTCCACTATCATTTCTAAGAAAACTCCAAATGGGGTCATGAAGTGTTAGACATGACTGAAAAACAATTGAACAATACTATGAACTGGTTCCCAAGAGCAACTTTGGAGAAAAAAATTCTCCTGATAGAATGGTGTGGGACATGGAATAACTAGGAATACACTTAGGAGTTAAAAATCTCCCCCTCCTGTTGCTCCTGAGAACAGCTCCTGACCTGAAGAAGCACTGGTGACCATGTATCTTCCTGTGTTTTTTCTAGGTCCTTCTTGTGGATGGAAATGGGGTACTCCATCACCGAGGTAATCTTAGAACCCAGGGGAGAGGGTTTGGGAAAGGGAATGGTGGAATAGGGAAGAGAGGGGGAAAATTGTGACTGTCTTCTTCACAGAGGGACTCTGCCTCTGTCTTTGCAAGTCACCTTCATTGTGAACCCTTTATCTGGCTCATGTCTCTGGTCCTGAATTAGTTTTTGAATATCAGAGTATCAGCAGATGCGCATGGAAATGTCACATTCCTTTTCTTTACATTCCTTTGTGCCCTCCATGCCTGGACACACATACCCCAAACAGATGTGTTACCTTCATTCATCTAATAAATGTTTATCAAGCATACTTCTATGGTCAGTATTCTCCTGGGGAGATACATTTACACCAGATAAATAGAGGAGGAAAAAAAATTAGGAAAGAAAATTGTCATCAGGAAAGACTTCATGGGGAGGTAGCCTTCAAGCTGACCTTCATATGAAGACATAGATTCTAGGAGGCAGAGGTAAGAAAGTGGCTTCTGGGTATGGGAATAAACAAAAGGAAATAGAATGTCAGGTTTGAGGGATAGTTGCTGGATCAGTTTGGCTGGAATGATGTTTTTGAAGGAGAGAAAAGTGAAATAAAGCTGGAAAGGTTGGAATCATATTGAAGAGAGCCTTACATGTCAGTCTTAAGAAGTTTATGTTTTATCCTATAGGGAATAGGGAGACCCACTAAAGGTTTTTAAGTAGGCTAGTGAGGGTCAGGTCTGTGCCTAAGAAAGGTTATTTTGGCATCTGTGTGGAAGATGGATTGAAGAGGGGAGATACTAGAATCAGGAAAACCAAATAGGAGGCCAAGGCAGAGCCAACGCAGTTTTAACTGCTGCAGTGCTTTCCATATGTCTGGTCTCTGTTGTTCTTTCTATGTGATGTCTTGCTTTTTAAGGTTTTTGTAACTATATGTGCTAACCTTCCTCCATGGATAGAAATGAATTGCCTTCTCTTGCTTGCTATAGAAAGTATATATGGATAGTAGCTATGGTGCTAAGTTTAAGCCTTTTTCATTTTAACTTTAGAATCCTTGTGAAAGTTTGTCCCCCTTGCTCTAGCACAAATGCAGAATCCAAGGAGAAAGCAATAGTTCCTTAAAGCAAATACTATTCCATTCTCCCTCAAGAAGCAAACTTCAAGGGGCAGCTAGGTGGCGCAGTAGATAGAGCACCAGCTCTGGAGTTCAAATCTAGCCTCAGACACTTGCTAGCTATGTTACCCTGGGCAAGTCACTTAACCCCAATTGCCTTAAAAATAAAAAAAATGAATTAAAAAAAAAGAAGCAAACTTCAAAGCTGTCCCCTTGGTCAAGCTAATTAGAGACCAAAAAAAAAAACCCCAAAACAAAACCTTATCAGGATACTTTGTTTTCTCTTAACTTATGCGATTTTGTTATTTTGCTGATACCTCTAAATTGTTGGGAATATCTCTCCCTGTTTCCATAATTGTGATGATGTTCAACACAGTACCCCAATAATTCACTCCATCTTTTGCCAACTATCTCTTTAAACATTAACACTTAAAGGAAGAATGATCTCTTCAAAGGCTAACCACCTATGCAATAAAGAAAGGAAAGGCAAGAGATGATGCTGATAATCCAGGATAAAAGACTGAAAAACATTTGCTAGGCAGGTAGAAGAAGAAACGGGAGAGAATAATGTCATGGAAGCTGAGGGAGGAGAGAGTGTCCAGGATGAGGCAGTAAGCAGTATCCAAAGCTGCAGAAAAGTCAGGAAGGATGAGGACTGGAAAAAAAGCCATTGGATTTAGGAGTTGAGATCTTGGAGCAAACAGTTTCAATTTTGTGGTGGAGTTGGAAGCAAGAATGTAAGGGGCTAAGTGGGTGGTAAAGAAGCAGGAGCAGTGATTATGAATAATATTTTTATAGAAATTGGGCAGTGTATGGGAGGTAATCCCTTTTCAGAAGCGAACCATGGATGTTGGAATATTGCATATAGTTTTGGGTTACTTGGTTTTGCTGAATTGCTGTTTTTCTCTTTTTTTATTCTTTGTAATAAGGATTGCTTTCTAGATGTGTGGAGGAGGGATACATTGGGAAAGAAGTGATATAAAAACAAAAGATCTCAATTTTTTTTTTACAAAAGGGAAGAAGATATATAGGTCAATGTTTTGAGGGATGGCACGATCAAATGAAGGTTTTGGAAGAATGGTGTAAATCTGAGAGATTTTTAAGACAGTTCAGAAAGACCTAGTAGATCAGAGAGACCTGGAAAAATGAGAGCTAGCAAAATCAGTATGGATCAAGAATATGATATAAAAGGAAAGAAGAAAGGGAGGGAGGGAAGGAGGGAGGAAAGAAGGAAGGATTGATTATCTACTAGATGGCAGCTTGCATTTTATAAATACTAACTCATTTGACCATCACAAAAACCCTGGGAGATAGGTACTATTATTATCTTCATTTACTGTAAAATGGGGCAGTTAGGTAGTGAAGTGGGTAGAGTGCCAGGCCTGGAATCAGTTCAAATCTAGTCTCAGACACTTACTAGCTTTCTGACCCTGAGCAAGTCACTTAACCCTGTTTGCCTCAGTTTTCTAATCTGCCAAATGAGCTGGAGAAGGAAATAGCAAAACACTCCAGTATCTTTGCCAAGAAAACCTCAAATGGCATCATGAAGAGTTAGACATGACTGAAATGACTGAACAACAAAAAACTGAGGAAAACAGGTTAAATAATTTGCCCAAGGTCACATAGCTAGTAAGTGTCTGAGGCTATATCTAAACTCAAGTCTTCCTGACTTTAGGCCTAGCATTCCATATGTCAGTCAAAAAAGTTAATGTGCTTTTAGGTTGCATTATAAGATATATTCAGGATTAAGGAGGTGATATTTCTGTTCTTCGCTTTGGTCTGGTCACATATGGAATATTTTGTTCAGTTCTGAGCCGCTACACTTTGGAAAGACATTGATAACCTGAAAGCCTCCAGGGTAGGAGAAATGTGAACAAGTTCATAAGGAAAAAGACATAGCCTCTATAGAAAAAGAGATTGGAGTTCTTAGAGATGATAATTGATGGGGTAAGAACAGCCCATAAAAAATGGAAAGAGCACAGTTTAGCCTTTGAAGAGATAATTCTTCCTTTAAGTCTTAAATGTTTAAAGAGACAGTTGGCAAAAGATAGAGGGAACTATTGGTATACTGAGGAGGAAAATTAAAGAAATTCATATCAGATGACCACAGTCTTTTCAATGAAGTAAGAATAAAATTTATTTGAAAAGAATGATGGGTACAAAAGATAGTGGTTTGAAAAAAGTTTGAAAAATTTGGAATATCTGGTATGGGGAATTCTGTAGGGGGCCACCTAGAAATGAATTAGGGGTCACCAAGAAGCTGAAGTCCACTTGATGCTAGTATAAATTTATAATAAACCATTCATTCTGGTTTTGTGATTTTCTTTAGCAATACTTGCAGTCCAGGAGCAAGAACAGAAAAAGTAGACAGTAGGATTTCCTTTGCAGTGAGAATTGATATGGCAAACTTAGCAGGGAAAATGGAGGGCTTCCAGGATTCTAATGAAAACAAAAACCCTCAACATATGTTTCTATTCTTCTTCCTTTTCTATCCTTCCTTAGCTTCCATCTTCAATGATTAATTTAATATTGATCTTCTTTACCCTTGGTGTGAGTGTGCCAAAGTTCAACTTGGACAGTCACGCAGAGCTTAAAATAGTATTCAGGAGTACTACCTCCCAAGCCCTATGCCATAATCAATAAGCTTCTGTTTACATCTCTCAATTCTGCTTTTTTAATAAAATTCTCAGGTGTCTTGGATTTGTCTTTGACTATTGGACCATCCTTTCCCATTTCCTAGCTAATTTGTTTACTGTTCTCACTTGCCATTCCTGCCTCATGGCTCTTTTCTTTATCTCATTTGCTAGGGTTTGGAGTGGCCTGTCACATTGGTGTCCTTACAGATCTGCCTTGCATTGGGGTGGCCAAAAAACTCCTCCAGGTAGATGGGCTGAAGAATAATGACCTACACAAAGAAAAGGTAAGAACCAAGGACTTGTTAGAATGATGAGGTAACTAAGAGTGATGCCATCTGAGATTCTCAAGTAGGAGCCAAGTTACTGGGAGCTGGAGGTACTGCAGAAAGATTTCATAGTATCATAGACTGGAGAATTCCTGGTTTCTGCTATCTTAGCCTCTGCTGTTTTCTCTGCTGTTCCCTGCGTGTCTTAGATCATAGAATGTTAGAACTGGAAGGGACCTTAGAAATCATCAAGTCCAGGCTCAGAGAGGCGCACTTGCCCAAGGTCAATCAGCTAGTTTGTGGCAAAGCTGGGCCTAGAGCCTGGGTCAGCTGGCTTAAGTCAGTGCTCTTCCTGTTTACTCTCCCAAGGAGAGGCCAGTGTAGTAGTGGTGAATGCTCCTGCCTCCTGACCTGTGTTTTCCTGTGAAGTGGCTCCTGGCTCACAAGGACAGGAGCAGGATCATTTGCCTTCTCCCCTCCTCCCTTCCCCTAGGCTTCAGTTTAGGGCTCTCTGTAATCTTCTCCCTATTTTGAACTCTGAAATATGCCCCTAACTATCCTGGCTCTTAATCAGTCAGTAAACTTTTATTAAGAAGCCACTGTGTGCTAGGGGCTCTACTACATCCTGGTGATAAAGACAGAAAATGAAATAGTTCTTGTCTCTAAGGGGCTTGCATTGTGGAGAATATATACAAATATATTTTATATGTACAGAATATATACAAAATATGTATTTTGCGGGAAGGGAGGGCATTAGGATCACATATTTGGAGTTTGAGGAGACTTAAGAAGGGTCTCTAGTATAGTCTCCTTATTTTATAGACATTGAAACGGATCTAAAGAAGTGAAATGACTTCTCCAAGGTCACACAGCAAGTAAGTGGTGGGCCTGGGCTTTGAACACAAATCCTCTAACTCCAAATCAGGCCTACTTTATGTTGTAATCAGGAAAGGCTTGAGCTGAATCTTGAAGAAAACAGGATTCTAAAAGGGAGAGATGAGGAGCATGGAGTGCAGGCAGTACAGAGGTGTGGAGTTGGGAGAGTCAGTGTCCTGTGTGAGGAATGGCCAGTGTAATGGGGTGGGGGAGAGTGTGGAAAGAAGAGAAATATTAAGTCTGGAGAAGTAACCTGGGGCCAAACTGTGAAGTCCTTTATAAGTCAGAAGATTTTATAATTTTGTCCAGGAAGTAACAGGGAGTATTGAAATTTATTAAGTAGGAGAGTGACATGGTCAGACCTGAACTTTAGGAAAAATCCGTTGGCAGCTGTGTTGAGGGTGGCTTGGAGAGGGGAAAGATGATGAAGGCTGGGACTGAGCCATGGCCATGTGTGTGGGAGAAGGGGATATATGTAAGAGAGGTTGTGGAGACAAAAATAACAAGGTTTGGCAACTGAATGATGGGTGATAGGATGAGGAAAAGAGAGGAGCAAGGATGACTTTCAAGGCTGTGACTGAGCTGACTGGAAGGATGGCTGGTGGCGCCCTTGATAGAAATGGGGAAGTTCAGAAGAGCAGTAGATTTGGGGGAAAGATTATAATGAGTTCTGTTTTGTACATGCTGTGCTTGAGATGTCTATAGGACATCCAGTTTGAATGTCCACTGGGAAGTTGGTGATGCAGGACCAAAACTCAGGAGGGAGGTTGGGGATGAATCTGAGAGTCATCTACAGATAGAGACATAATTAAATGCATGGGAGCTGAGGAATTCACCAAGTAAGAGAATGTAGGAAGAGAAGAGAAGACAGGACAAAATCTTGGGGTACACCCACCCACATAGTCATATAGATGATAATCCGACAAAGGAGACTGAGGAACATTCAGCCAGGTAGGAGGAAAGCAAAAGACTAAATTTCATAGTGACCCAGAGAAGAGACAGTATCCATTGGTCAACAGTGTCCGATGCTGCAGAGCGGTCAAGAAAGGAGGACTGAGAAAAAAACAACCCATTGGACTAGGTAGTTAAGGAATCATTAATAACTTAAGAGAGGACAGTTTCTGTTGAATAAATGTGGAAGTTGAGGCTCTGAATCAAATATTTTGACCAGCACAATGTGAGGTGCTACCTCTCCTTACCCAGGAGTAATTTTGATGGTTTAAAAGCTATTCTGCTGTTCTAAGTAATTCTTTACCCTTTATTTCTCACTAATTATATCATTACCTCCCTTTCTCCAGTTCAACCCATTTTCAACCTACTTCAACGAAGGAATTGTCCACAAAATTTCATATCCTTGTTTTCTAGATTCAGCATCTAAAGATGGGAGGAGATACCTTTCCTCTGATGGCCAACTCAGGTACCATCTTGGGAATGGTAAGTCAGTTGGGGTGCCTTTTCCCTACCCAAGCTTCCTCTGGGGTAACATCTGGGATTGAAGTCTCCTAAATCAGAGAGCCACATGGCCAAGTGGGGAAACCACAAACGACAGACTGTTGAAGGAAGCTTTGGACATTTTAGGCACTTCTGAGTTAGGAGAACTGGAAAGTTTGGTTTTTTTTTTTAACTCTCTCCTCCGTGAACCTAACACCATTCCTGCATCCATCCTTCCTTCCAGAAACCAGTCCTTACCCACAGGGTTGATGTCTGAATAAGTTAAATAGAGATGTTCATACGTATTTTCTTTGTTTATGTATTGTTATGAGGTTCCTCTTTACAACTGACCTCTTCCAAAACCACACAGAGATTGTCATAGAATCTTTGCCAAAGAAGACAGCTCAGGAACTAGGAACCAGCATGCCTCTACTGAGAGCCAGTCCTGTTATGCCCTCTCTCTACCCTTTCCTGTGCCACCAAGAATCCACTTTCAAATCCTCCAGCTAGTGGGATTGGTACCAAGTCCCTTGATCTTTGTTGCTGGTTATCCTTGCTAGGCAGGAGGAAAGGAGGTTCAGGCTAAGTCTTCACCTCAGAGACAACCTCCCTTTTCTTTCTAGTAGCCCAATCTCTCCTCCCATTTCCCAGGCCTTGAAGAGCCACAGCAAGAGCAGCAAGCCTCTGTATGTCTCTGTGGGTCACAAGGTGAGTCTGGGGGCTGCAGTCCGCCTGATCCAAGCCTGCTGCAGATACCGCATCCCAGAGCCCATTCGCCAGGTGAGTAGAAGCCAAAAGAAGGTAATGACTAAGGGACAGATGGAGGGGCAGGAGATTCATTGTTTATTTAATGGAATTAAATTGTTGAGGCCACAGAACAAGGGCAGTAACTAGATTCCCAGGACTAGGATGTGTGTGCCAGGGGGGAAAAATTACATTTCCTGAGCTAACCATAGAGCTGGTAGCAGGACTGAGACAAGTACTGTGTCTTTAAGTCTGACCTATGATTTCAAGATCTAGAGAGATAAGATCCAGGTCCTACTTGTGCCTCTACCTTGTTGCATTCATGAATGAAGGAATGAATGAATGAAAAAACATTTATTAAGCATCTGCACTTTGCTAAGCCTGCTGGGGATAAAAATACAAAAGCAAAGACTATCATTGTCTTGGAGGAGCTTATATTAGACTGGGAGGATATGTAAGGGAGTGGTGGCTAGGAGAAGTATCCTGAAAGTTACCAGGATAGTGAGTGGGATCATAGGAGAATAGATTGATAAATCCCTTTCAGGAACAAGAGCAGAATTGATTTCAAGTTGTCAAGTCAAGAAGCATTTATTAAGTGTCTCCTATGTGCCAGACATGGGCAGTAGATAGCACAGTGGATAGAGTGCCAGGAAGACTTATCTTCATGCATTCAAATGTGGCCATAGACCCTTACTAGCTGTGTGACTCCAGGCAAGTCACTTAACCCTGTTTGCCTCAGTTTCCTCATCTGTAAAAATGAGCTGGAGAAGGAAATGGCAAACCACTCCAGTATCTTTGCCAAGAAAACCCCAAATGGTGTCACAAAGAGTCAGAAGTGACTGAAATGACTGAACAACAACAAAATATGTTAAATACTTGTTTTTCTCTCCAAGACCAACATCTGCGTGTTAACTGTGGATCCCTGTCTCCTTCACCAGCAGATTGCCCGCATTATCATCCCCCCACCCTCAGTAATCTTCACTCTCTCCCTGTCTACTGATTTCTTCCCTGCTGCCTACAAAACATGTTCAAGATCTTACAGAAAAATTCACTTGACCTTACCATGCCCTCAAACTATCTTCCTGTATTTTTCTCCTTTTCTTAGTCAGATTCCTATAAAAGGCTGTCTACAAATTTTCCCTTCACTTTTTCTCTACTCCTTCTTCAGTCCTTTGCAATTTGGCTTCCAATAAAATCATCACCTACAGCATATCCCAGCTGTGGGTATGCCTCATTGTTTGACCCTGCTATATGCACATATGTAGGTACATATCATCTTGCTTCCAGGGGTGTAGAAATTCCTAGTCATTTCTCTGACCTTAATAGACCATGATTTGCTCTCAGTTTCCTGTTGCTTAGAGACTGAGCCCTTGGATTAGTGTTTATTTGCTTATCATAATGATTTTCATGTGATTTATGTGTTGTTCATTTAAAAGCAAAATGCACAGAAATCCTTTTAATCCCTGTTCTTTTCCCTTAGCAGTTCTCCCTAACTTCTAAGTAATGTATGAAGACCCTGCCGAGAAAAATTTATTGGTTGGATTCTGCCTAGATGCAATCAGTCTAAGCTATAGCACAAGGCAATACCAACAGAAGTTAAAATCCGGATTAATTACCCCCTGATCTGGAAGCTCTATTCAACCTGTGGGCTTTTCCTTCCTGTAGGCTGCTACTGAGAGAAACACCCTCCAGGTGGCAGTACCAGCTCACTGTCAGGATCATCAGTATCAGAGCTGCTGTGGGCAGTGAATGATGGGGAGCCAGAGGAAGGGTGAGGAGCATTGGGTTTTGGGCCTGAAACAGTGAGCACAGGAGTTTAAGTTCAGTTATGTGCTCTAGCAAGGAGTTCAGGCTGCCTCCAGTCTGTGAGATATTTCAGCCAAAGGGGAGGAATTTAGGGGTGAGAGTTCAGATATGAAAACACTACACAAAACCCACTTTGTCAGCTTCTTTTCCATATAACCATATCCACCCTCATCTCCATTGACTCAGCTTTTCTTCCTTCCCTTGCAGTAAGTCATTATCCTTTTTACCTACCGATTTAACTATTTGCCATTCTATCATTTCCCTCACCTCTCCTCTACCCCATCCCCCTCTACTACTCTCCCCTTTACCCCACCCCCTCCATTTTGTGTGGTACTAAGTACTTTTGCCTTTCCACCATTGCTTTCCGGAGTCTGAGCACAATGAGGTCATTGATGCCTAAATTCTTGCTACTATTGACTGCAACTACCTTAAGTTAGTTGTTACATCTAACTCAAGGGACCTACTCTTCATTTTGTATGATCAACCTAGGGCCTAGGGAATTGTGGTCTAGAGTTTGAATTCAGGGATTTTAGTTTCTCTTCTGCCAGTGATTTGCTGTATGAAATTGAACTAGACTCTTCTTTCTGGGGCTCAGATTACCCATCCTTTGAAAACATGATCCCTGCTTCCTTCGATGTAGATTGAGATTCTATAAAATGTTTTCAGTTTCTTGTTTCAGGGGAAAGGGAAACTCAGCTACTCATTAAGTAAGAGTCCATATGATTTCTGTTCTATTCTAGGAGCTTCAGAGTAGGAGGTAAAACATATAGGATACAGAGTCCTTGCCCTTGGGAGACTGTATCTCTTTGCAAGGTGATGACAAATGAATACTTAGGTCCTGACTTTTAACCTCTTTTGCTGTTAACTCCATTCCATTTCATAAAAAATGTTTACACAGCCAAGTTCCAGCTTCAAAAGGAGATATCTTTGTATAAAATACAAAGGACCAAGATGGACTGTGTTTTGTATTTTTCTTTCCTTCACTCTTAGCAAGCCTGCTCCAAAGTGATGAAAGCTTAGAGGTTTTGGGATTTTGTTTTGTAAAATTTTATTTTTATTGAGGAACCAGAAGGAAAGAGGGGGAAAAACCTTTAATTTCCCCTCCAACTTTCCATTGCCCCAATCAGGCCTCTGTTAGCTATCTCCATCAAGTCTCAAAACAAATCTGGACCTCACTGTTATTACCTCTCTTTGCTAGCCTCATTATCTGCACTGTGAAAAGGGAAAAGAATTGGAGACTACATCTGTCTTTGCCCTACTTAATTGTGTCTGTCTTATAAAAGAGAGAGGTGTAATGGAAAATGCCTGTTCCTGTAGTATAATAGCTTGAATCTTGCAAAGATGCCTTTCTGCCCCCTTTCCCTCCCCATTTCAAAAAGTCTGAGTAAGATCCAGTCTTCCATTCTACTCTTCCATATCCCTTGTCTGTCATCTCCATTTTTTTCCCTCTCACCCTCTGAAAATAGAACTAGTCTTAGGGGATTTACCACACTTCTTTTAGCCACCCTGCCAATAGTCATTCAGTCCCTAAGTTGTTCTAAGCACTATCTAAGCTTAGAATCTGATAGACTTATTTAGTAGAGAGTCTTTGGAGCCAAGACTAGGCAATTGGTGAGGGAGGAAAGCACACATCTTTAAAGAGGTGACCTAAACCCTGTAGTCCCAGATTAGACCTGTCCTTATCTCTGCTCTCACCAAGGGCTCTTTAGATCTGATGGAGAATAATTGAGAACCATTTTTGCCTTACCACGGTCCCTCTGCACTAGAGTAACACATCTGGGGGGAAGTAAAGATCTTCTACCAAACTGATCTCCGAAGTGTAGGGAGGCTATTCAGAGCCATACCTAGGAATTTTTGTACCTGAAACAGTTTAGTTGGATTAAATGATATACAGGAACAGCAGAAAAAATTGAGGAAATGGCCCATTCCAAGGATCAAATCCTTGTCTTCACAGGATTGCAGGAGTACTACTAGAGATATGGGGTCCTAGAGCTGAGTGCTTGAGGACCCTAGCCAAAGGAGGACCAGAAAGCAAATTGCAGAGACACATTCACCATGGGGAGGAAGCAGGTCTTCCCAACACCACCTATATCATATACTGGAGCAAAGCCTCATTCACCTATGCTCAGCACAGCTTTGAAACTAATCAGATAGTTTACATTAGAGTGTGTATTACTGCCCAGGAAGCTACTGTACTTGGAGTCAGGAGGACTGGGACTAAGTCCCAGCTCTTTTAGTGGCTAATTGTATGATCTTGGACAAGTCATTTCAGTTTTTGAGTTCTTGGCTTTCTTATCTGTAAAATGAGTTTGAACTAGATGATCTATAAGGTTCTTCAAATGCTAACATTCTCTTAGGACATTTCAGCTAACTTAAAATAAAAGCACAAAACCTCTTGGAAGGGAAGTTTTTTATTTTTGTGTTTCACAGAATTGCAGAATTTTAGAGTTGGAAGGAATTTTAGTGGCCATCTAATCCAATAAATGGTCATTCAGCCTCTGAATGAAGACTTCTAGTGAGGGGGAATCTGCCACCTATTAAGGCAGGCAACCCATTCCACTTTTAGACAATCCTAATTGTTAGGAAATTTTTCTTGATATCATGCCTAAATTTGCCTCTTTGTAACTCCCACTCTTTGTTCCCTAATTTTACCATAAGTCTAACACAGCAAGTCTAATCTCTCTGCCACATGTAACCTTAATACTTGAACACACATAATATCCCCCTCAATTATATCTTCTCCAACCTAAATATGCACAATTCCTTCAGCTGATCCTTAAGTGACGTGAACACAAGGCCCTTCACTATCCTTTTCTTCCTCAGTATACTCTTCCCTTTATAATTGTGCATCTTAAACTGTGTAACTAAGAATTAAACACAGTACTCCAAATATGTTCAACTGAGGCCAGAGTACAGAAAAACTATCACCTTCCTCTTCCTGGAAACTGTACCTGTCTTAATGAAGCGGAAGATCATGTTAGCTTTTTTGGCTGCCACATCACACTTCTAACAGTGTTGAGTTTGCAGCCCACCAAAAACTCCAGAGATTTTTAAGACAAATTGCTGTCTTAATCATGCCTCCCCCATCTAGTACTTGTGAATTTGATTTGTTGAACCAAAATGTAAGACACTTATGTCTATTGGATTTCAGATTATTAGCTTCAGTCCACTGCTCTAGCTGTCAAGGTCCTTTTGTATTCTGATTCTGCCTTTCACCTTTGCAGCATCTG